ACATGTGAGGTGTTTGGACAGTGAGAACTCCGACAACTTGCCTGGAGGTAGGTAAAGAGAAATAGGTAAAGTTGGTAGGTTGAAGTTGGGAGTAGGTCCTGGAGACACAAGTGGAGTGTTTGGACAATGGAGACTCTGACAACTGGCCTAGAAGTCCTTGAAAGTAAAAGTTGAGAGACCACTGGATTGTGATTGGAACCGAGGCGTTTAAGCTCAAGAAAAGTATCGCCATACCATCTGTACTAAAAATGGACGACCGCCGTGATAACCGGCCATTACGTGAAGCAATGGAGGAACAGTACATTGGTTGGATTATCGGCTTGGAGAAGGTAACGAGTGTATTTCGGCTGATACAGACTGTGCTTGTTCTCATGGAATGGCTTTGCCGTTGCTTGAAGATGTTCGTCTAAATGCGAACCAACGAGACATCATGGCAATGTTCCGTGATCATCTCAGAGAGCTGGAGACCGAAATGCAAAGGCAGATTTGTGAGATGCGTGAGCATATCTTAGGCAGATACCACAGGTCATTGCAAGGTTGAAATACCTGTGACCCATTGCTGTGTGACAGATTTGGTAGATATAGGCGATAGGGTTCCTGGCAGTAGTGGTAAGCGTGAAAAATAGGTGACAACGACTGAGCTGCATGTGAGAGTATACTGAGTTGCGTTGCATGTGTGATTTGCGTTTGTTGTGTAAGAGTTTTAGTGACTTTGGCAAGAAAGAGAGAGAGAGCCTGGAGAGTCACTAGGACACTAGGAAGCTTGGTGATTTTGGCAGAGAGAGAGAGAGAGTGCCTGGAGAATCACTAGAGAGCATTGGAAAGAACTGAAAAGAAATGGGCTGGATGGCAGGGAGCTGCATAGGTCCATACTAGAAAACTAAGAAAGAGTTACATCTCGACAGGTTGGTCAGGTTGTAGTTGATCCTGGACGCACGGAGTGCACAGTGCGTGGTGCTACTGAGCCTGGCGTCATGCCTGGAGATGGTAGTTAGAAAGAGAGATTTTGGCATGAGAACCTGGAGGGTCGGTGACCTTGGTTTAGTTGCCACATTTGAGAAGCGTTGGCATGAGAACCTGGAGGGTCGAGTTTGCTTTGTCAGTGACCTTGGTTTAGTTGCCACATTTGTGATATAATGCGTGAATAGTTGAACACCTGAGGTTCGGTAGTGTGCAGGAACAGTGGAGCTTGACGGATGTTTGCACTGACTGGTAACCTTGAGATTGAAGCCTGAAGCATTGTTGTTTGCCTGGCAGTATAGGTACTGGAGTGCTGAGAGAGAGAGAAATAGGAACCGTCATGGCACTGAAGGCACAGTGGAACTTGGTGTTGAGATTGTTGGTTGACAACGGAGTGAGAGTAAGGTGACATGTGGACACCGCCTGTTTGGGAACGTTGATCTGGATTTCTCAGATGCATCAGGTAGCATCCTTGGTTTGGACTGCAGTTGTGGAAGTGTTTGAGTTGAGCATGTATTGCTGTAAGTCAGTGGAAACGGCCTGAACTGTGTAGGAAGTGGAAACTGCTTTGAACTGTATTTTAAACGAAACAGGAAACTTTGTTGTGAGTTTGTTTTCATGTTTTTCTTTGACTGGAACTTGAACAGTTTTGCAGTGTCGCAGGCAGGTCAGGTATGACTTACATTGCTTGGATTGTTGCAGTTGTTTTGAAACCTGGACGGATGTAGTCGTGAGGACTGGGACAGATGCAGAGAAGGTACATTGAACCCTGAGACAGGTAGGTACTCTGCGAGTTGTTGTCATACTGACCGAACTTTGTGTGAAGATAACCTGAATGGCAGTTTTTCTCTTTTGGCTTAGAGCAATCGTACCGTACCTCTCTAGATGGATGGATGAGCACGGAGATGTCTGCAAGCCAATTTTGACTGTGAGACGAGCTCTATGGTCTTTGTAGTGATGATTGCCAGTGTGGTTTGCCTACGTTGGTTATGGCACTTCCTTTGGAAGAAATGTAGTTTGAGAACAAGATGCTTGTGATGTTAGTCGACCCTGGAGGGTTTCCTTTGCGAACCTTGGGCCATGTTGATTGGACATCTTGTACTACCAGAAGGCTGGCATGGAGTTTCACGAGGTTTACAGCATTGGAGCTTTGCAGAGGATCCTGAGAGGGAATTAGAGCGGTAGTGTAGTTTGTGCGTTTGCGTGTTGCTCAGAGTGAAAAGCAAAAGAGGGAATCTGGGATTTGAGATTTGCAATTTTCTTTTGAATTGAAGAGTTTTGACTTACAACAAAAAGGAAAGAAATGGGCTGGATGGCAGAGGCGCTGCATAGGTCCATAGGGAACTGGAAAGCAGGGGCGATTACGACTTGCATAGGTTCCGAGAAAGAAAAGAAAGGTTGTAGAAAGTCAAAACGTGGACCAGATTGCAAGACGTTGCAAGGTTCACACATGAGCTAGATTGCAGACGTGCATAGGCTCAGAGAACAGATTTAAGTAGAAAGAGAAAGAAATAGGGAACTGGACGGCAGGGGCGACTAGACGACTTGCATAGGTTCCAAAACGTGAAACTGACTGAAATGAATGTAAATGTGATGTCAGTTCGTGGCTCGACATACTGTCTAAGTGAGAGACGAAGTATGGAGCTGTATATTCTGTTGGACTTGACTTGACATTTTGTCTGGACTCCTCATGTTTGTATAGGTTTCATTCCACCGTTGCTGTTTACTATAAGACAACTTTGGCTCAGTGTTTTGCATTTCAGCTGCCCTATCGATCGCTTTGAGATCCTTTGGCATCAATGGCAATGGAATCCATTCGTCTTTGGTTGGCTCTGACTCCTAAGCAGTTTGAGGACTTGAACAATGGCAAGGAGATCCAGCCTGACGAATATTCCAAAAGGTTTGGACTACGAAAAGACCCGGTTGCTGCCGTTGAGCGTGCGCAGTACTTCAATGATTGGACGCCAGAAGGTCCCAAGGGTGAGTTCTGTGCCAAGGATTATGTCCTTGTTGAGGTCGAACTGACCGCCATTGGCTATCTCCAAAAGGCCGAGGCGGGGATCCTTCTGAAATATAAACCCAACGAATATCGTTGGCAGGGCACGATGAAGGCTTTGGAGTTCGACCAGAATGGCAACTTATTGTACAAGTTTGCCGCAGACGCTCATAAGATCGTCTGAGTAGGGAGGAAACCTGCTCCCAATGTATAGGTTTTTTTGTAATGGTTCCAGGCCGGGTGGTAGTGCTAGGCTTGGAAGCCGACGATAGCTGCGAGGAGAAATGCAAAAGCTGTGATGAAAGAGCTGTCAAGCTGAGATTGGAGTGAAATGACAATTTTGGGATGTCTTGGAACTTCAGAGTTTTGGACGATTTCGGACTGGACGGAACTTGGACTTGTGGAACTCAGTTTGAGTAGTTTCGTCAGCTGTCATGAGCTTTGCATGAGTTTTCATTTTTTTTCTGCATGACATGTCTATGGGTTTTATGCGCAGAAACCACTGTGATCTGTTTTGCAGTTTTGTGAAGGGTTGTGCATGCATTGGCAGTTGGATTTGGATTGAGTTTGCGGTTTGCCACAAGTTTGCATTGTTTTTTGTTTTGTCTGAGACATTGAAGTTTGGTCGATCACATATTACCTGTCAAGATGTGCGGCACGCATCTTGGGGTAGTAGTGAGTGTGATCTTTGGCGGAAGTGTGATTCATCTGTTAAGGTGTGCGTCACGCACCTTAGGATGAACAAGAGAGAGTTTGTGCTTGGCATGGCATGAAATGGCTGAGTTGTAACCTGCATAGCCAGTAAATGGATCGTCAAGTTGAATTGCAGATTATGCCCAAGCTGTATTTGGGCCCCGGCTTATCCCAGCGAGTGCATCAGGCCTTGACTAGGAGACTCGAACAATTCATGGCAGCGAACGTGCCAGCTCCAGCAGCCCCGGCAGCTCCAGCGGAAGCAGGAGAAGATGTGAGTTTCTCTCTGAGAAACTTTTCCTTATTTGCACACGCAACAACGTTTTTGGCAAAAACTGTTTTGGGTTTGGTTTTTCAAACTGCTGTCAACAAACCACGGCTTTTGCTGCGCGTTATTTGTTTTTTGGAAATCAGGTAATTATTTGTTTCATCTGAAACATTTCCTTTCAAGGGTGTGGAGGGAGGGATTACCCTCTGATGGAATTTTTCCGTCTTTCAATGGGGGTAAGCGATGCCGTTTAGTGCCATGGATGCAACTGACAGCAAGGTTACTGATTTCTCTGTGCAAGATTGGACAAATGCAGGGACTGATGACTTTTTCAGCTTCAGTGATGATGTCAGCAAACGTGCGGCTTTGTTTGGGGACGTCAGTGGACTTGATGATGATCAACCTGTTAGAGAATCATGTCCTGTCTTAGGCGAGGTTGAACAGGACCGTGAATCAATGGTTAGCCCAACAACTGCTGCTTCAGTGGAACACATGGTACTTGGAAACGACACAAACGCTGTTGTGCACACTTCAACTGTTGTTGCAAACGATGACACAGACGCCATGAATTTCCAAAATGCTTTTCAGTCAGCTTTCAATAGTCTTGCTCCTGAACAACCGAAACAGATTTGGGAGACCGGAATCTGGAAACACATTTTTGGAGATGAGAATGACGTACTGGATTTTGATGTCTGGGGCCCGCCGGCCAAAAGGCCAGCACCCGCTCTGTGGGGAGTGCAACCTTCTGGCATTGAGTCGACATCTGATTCAAGTGGCAAGCGGAAGTTTGAACAGTGTTGCACTTACATGGAGGTGGTCACATTTAAACCTGATGTGCCCTGGAAAGACCAACGTGAATCAGATCTGCAGAGAGGATTGAACCTATGGATGGCTGTCACAAGCAAGTGGTCAGATTCATGCTCATTCATACGGAAGCTCAGTGAGATGCAAAACGAGACTGAACAGTTCAACATGTTTGCACACCTTTTTGCAGGTAGGGCTCCCACCACAGTCAGGAAGCGCGGGACCGCTGTTTTGAAGGTGTGCGATTTTTTGGATTCAAATCAGCTGGAGTCCTTTCCAATGAGTGAGCTGGTCTTTTACAGATTCTTGTGTGCAGAGTTGTCGATGGGAGCTCCGACCAGCCGTCTGCGTGGGTTTCTTCAAGCAGTGACTTTTTGCAGACATGTCATGGATGTGGTAGAGCTGCAGCCCATCATGGACAGCAGAAGATGCAAAGGTACAACTCATGACGAGAATGTCAAAGAGCGCAAGCAAGCTAGCCCGCTCAGCGTGCAGGAGTTGCTGAAGCTCCACTCCATGGTGGAGGACCCCACGGACATTTGGAATGCCCTAATTGCAGGGGCCGCATTGCTGTGCTGCTACTGCAGGGGCAGGTGGGGCGACTTGATGCGGAGCGAGATGGCTTTCGTAGACTATGACGATACAGGTCACCCTGCATTCCTGGAGACTCGGACAGGGAGGCACAAGACAATGGCAGCTCAGATGCATCGGCATCAGTTTCTTCCAATGGTGGCTCCAGTCAGAGGGGTCAATGGCAAGGACTGGGCTACACCATGGATCGAACTTCGCAGGTCAAAAGGTTTGACATTCCCGCCGGAAGGGCTGGTGATGCCCGCTCCAGATCAACATGGGCAGGCCACCGAAAGGCCGCTAGAATCCGGAGAGTGTGGAAAGTGGTTGCGGAAGTTGCTGGACGTTGCGCCCATGTCAGAAAGCTCTGATGGACGCCGAGTCAGCAGCCACAGCCTCAAATGCACCATGTTGTCATTTGCAGCAAAGCGTGGGTTGCCAGTTCCTGACAGACTCATGTTGGGGTATCACTCATCTAGCATGCAGATGTCTCTTGTGTACTCTAGGGATGGAGCTGCTGCAAGCCTGTTGCTTTTGGAGCGTTTGATTGATGAAATTGTCAAAGGGAAGTTCAGACCAGACAGTACCCGCAGTGGCCGCATTGTCGAGTCACCCGATGAGTTGCCGGGCGCCCATCTCAGCCATGTGAAAGTGGAAGTTGTCAATTCGTCAGATGATGATGCTGCAAGCAATCAAGATGTTGAGGAGTCTTCTGATAGCACTTCAGACTCAAGCTCTTCTGATCATGGCATACCTCAGGATCACAGTTTGAACAAGGTATATGCACCTCCTGAACCACCTGCAGGTTTCTCCCGTTGGCAGCATGCTAAGTTGAAGACTGTGCATTTGACCGCTGAAGGTTATGCCAGAGTGTTTGTGTGCGGCAGACAGGTTGGAAGTTTCCATCAAAGGTTGGAAGCAACACCCCGTTTTGATTCTCCTGTTTGCTGGGCTTGTTTCAAGAAAGCTAAACAGTCTGAATAGGAGAGTAGCTGTTGATTTTTTGTTTTGCAACTCGCACTGGAATGACTTGTTCCATTGGAGCAGATTCATGTCCTATTTGTGCCGACCTCAGTTTTGCAAGACGTTCCTTTCTACTGATTTGTGCTTCAGAGAACAGTTTGCGAGTGCAGAGTTGTTGGCATGTTTTGCGGTGATTCAAGTCGTGCCCAAAAGCATTGCTGCCATACAGAAACTCATGTTATTGGAGCTTGCAGTCATGTCCTTTTCAACTTAAGAATGAATTAAGATGTGAGAGCTCAAGCATGAATCGGTTCAGGGCAGCTAGACTGGCACGGTCACCGTAGATGGCTGGATCTTGCCCTGCTCTCGGTGGATTCCCTGGTCAGCAAACTCATTTCAGTCTTGCCGATAGTGTCATAACTACTGGCTGTTGATTGAGAGTCATATGTGTCACAGAGCACACATGTGTCAGACACCGGAGCTCGGTCCTAAGCAGTCAGTCGTTCAACACTGTGCAGTTTTCATTTTGGAATAATCTCAAAATTTCATTTCCAGTATTTTGATGTCAGTTTGACAGCGACACCCAATATCAGCGACGACTGGTGCGACACAGGGCAGGTAGCCGTTTGGAGTTGAACCCAGCGTCGCGTTTGCACTGCACTTATTTCAGTTCAGATTCTCATCGTTTTGAATTTTCGTGCATCATCTTTTTCTGTGCTTGCACTGCTTGTCACATCATTTGAATGAGAGAGATGTGCTTGTGCGGCAGAAAACGCGTGGCACCAAATCTGCATGGCGCCAATAGGGAATTGGGTTGAGAGGGAGCCCAACATGGGCACCAAACAGCCCGATACCATTGTCACACCGCTGCACGACCGTCAGATACTCAAACACAGCAAGAGTCCAAAAAGAGACCCGTTGACGAGTCTTGGATTGCGAGTGTTGTGAGCTTGATGAGTCAGACCATGTGCAGAAAGACAGATTGGATGAGATTCATTTTATTTTTCTTTTGATTTGTGAGATGAGTGTGCGTGGAGAGACTCTGAGGCACAAGCCGTAGGTTAGTGCAAAGAGTTGAACGCGACACCAAGACACAATCAAGAAACATGCACTAGCCCTCAAATGGGGATGCATGCAACAGGATTTCACTTCACAAATGATCTCAGCTGTTTGACGATGCCACGGCGACACGTGGGATTACAAGTTTTAAGAGAATTTCATTCCAGTGTAACTCAATCATTTGGGTTTCCAATCTGTTTTCACCATGTCACTCGTCGAGAGCAATGCAGCGTTCACACAGAGATGCAGCGAGCTTGACCGAAGTGGGAACTTTGGAAATGCCTTGGCGGCGCAGAATATCAATAGCTTCAGCGCGATGGCTTTTGCACTGGGCACTCCACAAACTCCTCCGACGGATCAACAATTTGACACCTTGGCTCAGGCCGTCTTTGGTGGAGGCTTCACTTTGGGGCAGACGTCAATGTTACGGAGGCTTCACTTCGAATCGACAACATTGATGATAGCCTCGGTCAAGCAGAGAGTTGACGGAGAGTCTTCAGATAGACCTGACAGTGTAAAGCGCATTCCAGTTGCAGAAAAGCGCTACAGGTTGGAGCAACAGGAGCAGAGGCTGGCAGGCATAGCCATCTCAGGTGAGTTGAAGCCGTCGCACCAGCTATTGGATCTTACAAACAACGTGCTGGAGACTGGGTCAATAATTTGGATAGCCCCGTCAAGATGCACCAAACGATCGGAGGAAGTTCAGTTGTCAATCAAAGAGAGGCCCTCTGCAGTGCAAGTGGAGAATCAGCAGCTCAAGATTGCACAAATCTCTGAAGACTTCAAAGCTGACTGTGGTAGCGAAATAAAGCTCCAATGGTGCTTGCAGAGGCGTGGCATTGCAATGGATCAATGCCAACTTCTCGCATGGGCTACACATGAAGCCTGGGTACAACAGTTATTTCGAACGCTCAGCCAGCAAGCTCCCCCAAACTTTCAGCCGGTGAAGATGGACCAGTTGGTCCGCGCGGACCGGGAGCTGTGGACTTTGCTGGCCCAGGAGCACAAGGGAACTTTGAAAGTGAGCGCAGCTGGTGAAGTCCCGCTGGATGGACTCTTCAAGCGCTTTTGTCAGGACCCTCGCATTACCATGTTCCTTTTGCCTGCTCCTGCTGGGGCCAAAGCTGTGGACAAAGAGGTTGCTCCAAAAAGACTTCCAACGACTGGACCAACACAGGCGTCAGCAAAGAGCAGCACCAGCAAGAAGCGCAAGACAAGGGCTGAGAAACAATGCCCTGATGAGCTCAAGAAGTTCAACCTCAGGTGCGAGCACGGTCCAGTGTGCTGGGCTTACAATTTGAAGACTGGCTGCAAAAATACAACAACAGGAAAGCCCTCTCGATGTGCCAAAGGTTTCCACGTTTGTGCAAACTGCCACAAAGCAGGACACTCAGTGGTGGTCTGCAGAGGACTTGCAAAGAATGATGGAGCTTGACAAATCGGAGCCACTGGATCCATTTTGGAACCAGGTGGTAAACGCAAAGCAGTATCACCTATTTCAGCTGGGCTCCAACAACCAGCTGCAAAGAAACGGGGTGAAAAAGGAGGCAACAATGTTCAACACATTGGTCCCGTTGCCCCGCCAGTTTCACTTGCTCCTACGGTTCATGTCGAAGATCAAGAACCGAATGCCTTTGAAGCCAAGCAGAGAAATAAATTTGCAGGCAAGCTCCTCAGCGACATACTTGTTGTCGAGATTTGTGCAGGCAGTGCCAGGCTCACTCGAGTTGCTAGAGAAGCAGGGTTCCATGGCTTAGCCATTGACCATTCTTCGAGCCGATCATGTGGCATTGACATTTGCATTTTCGAGTTGGAAGATCAGACTCAAGTAGATGAGTCGTGCAAATTTTTGAAAGAAGAAGCAGACAACATTGCAGCAGTCTGGATAGCACCATCGTGCGGGACAGCAAGTCGTGCACGTGAGCGGAAGCTGCCCCAGCTCACACGTCTTGGGGTGGCGGAGCCAATACCTCTCAGGTCCAAATCCCAGCCTGACCAAATTGATGGGCTGGAGGGTACAAACAAGTTGAAGGTCGAGAAGGCCAACATGTTGTACGATGCTGTTGAACAGATTGCACAAACCTCGTGCAAGGCTCAGATTTTCACTGCAATCGAAAACCCAGGCAATAGTCATTACTGGGGAACCACACCCATGCTGAACCTCGTGGAGCAATTTGGTGACCAATATGTCAGCTTCCACAACTGCTGCCACGGTGGTGAACGTGACAAGCTTACGTCTGTTTGGGTGTGTGCGGATTGGCTGGACAGTCTCAATGCAAGGTGTGATGGATCACACCCACACAAATCATGGAAAGTCACAGTTTCAGGAAACAAGGTGTCATTTCCAACTGCTGATGAGGCGGCCTACCCTTTTGTGCTGTGTGAGCGCATCATCGATTGCATCAAACACAAAGTGCTTGCGTATGGTGCAGTCCAATCAAACAACGTGGAACAACAGCTACAGCAGCCCGACGCTGATGCTGCTGGCCGCATTGCCCTCGGTTCACTGCCCCGAGGAGCCAAGGTAAAGCCGCTGGTTGCAGAGTTTGGTTCCTTTACAGCAGCAATTGCACCCTTACAGCAGTCACAGTGTGTTGAAGAATTTTTGAGACAGCAGCCCAAAGGAAGCAAAGTCACCTCTCGACAGCTCTTGACAAGGGGTAAAATCCGGGTCGAGGGTGAGGGTGTTTCTCACCATTTTCTTGCAAACTCAAAGGAGCTGCCAGATGATGCCATGGTTGAATTGTGCTGGATTGGTTTGCCAAGCGATCCAGATGATTTTGTGCTGCGAGCTCTGAGAGCGGGACATCCGCGTGGGATGGACGTCCATGTGGATGCAGCCATGGCCTCAGTCGTGAAGGCCAACCTGGTCGACCCGCCTTTTTGTTTGGCCAAGAAAAGGGTTGAGTTTCTGAAAAAGTGGACAGCAAGAGCCAAAGACCTCAAACTGGAGGAGGAAAGTTTCAGGAAGAGAATGCCTGAACACGTGCGAAATGTCCTGGGCGACAAGCGTCTAGTCCTTTTCAAGGAAATTTTGGAAGACTTGGACTACCCTGACACCAAGCTGACAGAGGACATCGCATGTGGTTTCAAATTGAGTGGCTACATGACCAAGTCGAACGTTTTCCGTGCGAGGTCCAAGAGGCCAGCTTTTTCCTTGGAGACATTGCGCAAACTCAGCCGGTCTTTCAACTCTAGAAACGTGGATGCTTTGAGAAAAAGACAAGATGCAGAGCTGGAAGAACAGACTTGGAAGGAGACGGAGGAAGAGTTGCGCAAGGGTTGGATTTTCCTCGACAACTCCGAGGATCTTGACAACAAGTTTCTGGGAAGGCGCTTTGGGATCCATCAGGGTTCCAAGGTGCGGGTGATCGATGATTGCACCTGCTGCGGGTTAAATCTTACAGTGGGGCTGCATGAGAAGTTCAAGCTCCATGCCATCGATTTTTTGGCTGCAATCATGGGTCATGCTTTTCGTACCTGCCCCCCTGGTTTCATACCTGCTGTGAAAGGTTGTACGTACGACTTGAAGTCGGCATACAAGCAATTTGCTGTGAGTGAGGGCGACCGCAACACCTTGAGGATGGGTGTGAATGTGCCAGGGCAGGAGGCTCATGCAGTGATAGGTTTCAATTCCTTGCCCTTTGGAGCTGTGGGGTCGGTGGCTGGTTTCCTTCGGGTGAGCCAAGCCTTATGGTACATTGGCTACTTTGGATTGGGCTTGCTTTGGAGCGTTTTTTTTGACGACTTCACCTTGCTTACAAGGGCGGAGTTGGAGCAAAACAGCAGTTGGGCTTGTGAATCTTTGTTTTCTTTGCTTGGCATGAGATATGCGACAGAAGGAAAGAAGTTCCTTCCGTTCGACAGCCTTTTCCGTACGTTGGGCCTGGAAGTGGACGTGTCTCAGTTCAGTGATGGACGGGCGTTTGTGGGGCACACAGAAAGCAGGAAGGAGGAGCTGGGTGCTCAGCTGAAACAGGTGCTATCCAATGGAGCACTGAGTCCCAAAGAGGCCGAGAAGCTTCGAGGGAGGATGATCTTCTTTGAAGGCTTCACCTTCGGGAGGGTTGCCAACTCCAGCACCAAGACTTTGGGGCGTTTTTGTGGAAGCTCCAACAAGCCCAAACCTTTGGACGCTGAAATGACCAGGGCACTAGGTTTTCTGCAGCAAAGGATCAGCGATGGCCGGCCGCTTGAAATCCAGCGAAACTTACACAGTACATGGCTGGTCTTCACAGATGGCGCTTGCAATCAAGAAGACATGACAGGGTCGGTTGGTGGGGTCATCTACGACCCATCCGGCTCCTGTGTTTCTTTCTTTGGCGAAGCTGTGCCAACAGCAATAATGGAAGACTTGTTTAGACGATCAAAGAATCCAATCCATGAGCTAGAAGTTCTTCCGGTGCTGATTGCATCGCTCGCTTGGGGCCACCACTTCACTTGTGCACAGGTGGTGTACTATATCGACAATGAGTCAGCCAGAATGGCTTATATCCGAGGTACTGGCGAAACAGTGCGAGCAAGCTTGTTGGTGCAATCGTTTGTTGAAAACGAGGCGGCACAACAACACCGTGTCTGGTTTGGCCGTGTACCGAGCCATAGCAACCCTGCAGATGCACCAAGTCGCCTAGATCACAGTCATGTCCTTGCAAAGGGCGCGAGCCAAACCAACATTGATTGGGAGAAGGTTTCACGCCACCTTGGACTTTGAACTGGGGCGGATCTCGGAAGGTACAGAAACTTTCCCCGGTGTAAAACAGGTGCTGCTGAGTTGACTCGGATGTTCACATGTTACTGTCATGGTCGTTGTGATTTCACCTTTTTTTTTATTTTGATTTTCCGAAAAACAACGCGCGATGTTGTGGAGTGAAAAATAAGATGTGAGTTTCTCTCTGAGAAACTTTTCCTTATTTGCACACGCAACAACGTTTTTGGCAAAAACTGTTTTGGGTTTGGTTTTTCAAATTGCTGTCAACAAACCACGGTTTTTGCTGCGCGTTATTTGTTTTTTGGAAATCAGGTAATTATTTGTTTCATCTGAAACATTTCCTTTCAAGGGTGTGGAGGGAGGGATTACCCTCTGATGGAATTTTTCCGTCTTTCCCTCCCTGTTTGCTTTCATAAGCCAACCTTTTCCCACCCACGTCAAAATTGGTTCCTAAAAGGAGCCACACCCCGAGCCCTGGATCTCGGAAGGTACAGAAACTTTCCCCGGTGTAAAACAGGTGCTGCTGAGTTGACTCGGATGTTCACATGTTACTGTCATGGTCGTTGTGATTTCACCTTTTTTTTTAATTTTGATTTTCCGAAAAACAACGCGCGATGTTGTGGAGTGAAAAATAATTCCCCTTGTCTGAGAATCCACCAGTGACGGCACAGGCAGGAAATGATGAGACTGAATCAGAGAAAGAGGGAGAACAGAACACTGCTCATGTGCATGGAGAAGACAAGGAAGACAAAGAGGAAAGAGATGCTGAAAGAGATGATGACAGATCGAGATCTCCAAGATTGAGGATGCAGGAAGCACCTGACCACAGTGATGCAACAGACCTGTTGAACTCGACCACGGGCTTGGCTGTGGGAATCACTTCGATGGTCGCTGCGCTGAAGGGTTCGACGGACAAGCTCGAAACCCTTATCAAGAGTACGCATACTCTTCAGCAGGACCTTTGCCGAAGCCTAGAGGCCGTGGGAGCGGCAGTCAACAACATGGCAAGGGCATCAGAATCATTGGCTGCTGGTGTTAACCACAACACCAGCCGCTTGGGTGCGGTCGTTGGTGAATACAACAAATTGAAAAAGCATCTGGAGTGGGCACTGGATGTCTCTATGGCAGACGTGCTCAAGAAAAACAACAAAAGCCGCACGGAACGCGACCAAGCTCTGCAGGATTTGATGACCCAGCTTTTCGAATCGATGGACAAGCTACAAGAAAATATGCAGAAGGTTGCTGTGAGGATCGAGAAGGCCCCGGTGAGCCAAGAAGGGACCATGGATTATGATCCGCCGCAGCCACCCATGGGAACCCTGGGTATGTCGCAGAGTAGCCCGCCAGCGGCACCGATGACGCCGGCACCTGGTGTGAGTTTGGGCTCTGGCCACCTTCCGCCTCCACCGGCAGTGCCACCTATGGTGCCACCGAGACCTATGATGCCATCGCCGCCATCACTCCCAGTGGCGAAGTTCGTGGGCTACAGCCCGGCAAAGATGGGGGAGTTACCAATGAGCTATCCCCTGGCTCTCGAAGTGAAGGATATTAAATCCCCACCTTGTCAAGTGATCGAAGAGGTCACGGGTCGCATTAGGTGTGTTTCACCAACTGCCCGTCATGACCCAGCGACGGGGACGGCGGCATTCTCCCCTTTAGGGTATGTTCAAATACAGGGGACACGAGAATACCGTCGGGTATACCCCTGATGTTCATACCTGAGCAGAGTGCCAAAGGCACCGGAATTCGCCTGGTGTGGCAACAGGAGAATAGTTGATTTTGTCAACTCGAGGTTCACTTGTTGTTTTCAGAAAGGACGATATGGCTGAGCACAGATACCAAGCTTGAGTTTAAAAGGGGGGCGAGACACGACGATTGACGCAGTGGACACAATTTTGTTTGCATGTTGCTGTTGGTTTGTTAGTTGTTTGAGGTTCGTTTTATTGTCATATGTCTCTCAATGACGATGGCGAGAGCAACGTTCTTGAAGGCATTCAGAACTTGGAGTTGCTGACAGATCTGAGGGAGACATCATGAAGAAAGGTTGAAGTGCGATACTTCTCATGTTTGAGTTGTTGTGTGCATGTCTTGAGTTTTGTTGCTTGAAATATGGAACTTGATGTTGTGAGTGTTTTCATAAACATTTGGTATAATTGTGTTGTCATGGCACATGATGAGAACCTGAGAAGAAACTCAGACGGAATCTGAGTCTAAGTAGTCGGAAAATCTTCCGGGGAATCTGATGCCATGATTGCAGACACATGGCACTGTCATGTCATGATATAGACTCAAACAAGACATACCACACCTCCGAGATCGTTAGGATGGATCAGACGTTGAAAGGGGGACGGCGATCTATGCGATGATGAAACTGTGAGAGCTGTTCTGCCAGAACGTCTCTCACCGCTTCCTCATTCTGTGCCGATCTTAGCTAGTCCTGACCCTAACTGTGAACGAGTTTCATTCAGAGTGTTTTGAATTTGTTGTGCAGTGACTGTGAACTGGACTTCACTTGCTTTGAATTTGAGATTAGTTATTAGTTGCATGAGTGATATTATTTCACTTGCGTTTTCTTTTCATACGCCTACCTTCTTCACGAAGGTGCGGATTAGCTGAAACAGTTGGCCCTTGTTTTCGTGTTGACTCCGATCGTGTGACGTTAGGTTTCGTCTTGGGTCTCGTGTGTGTGTGTGTGTGTTTGTCTTTGTTTTGTTGTTGTTGTTTGCTTGTTTTAGGAAGACAACAGCACTGTAGATACTTCGTTATTGACGCCATGGTTTATCCGAGGAACTGGATTTTGGAAGACGAGTTTAGTACTGGAAAGACCTCAGGAGTCTTTGGACTGAGTCTGGTATTCTTACATCTGGTTTTTGCGACAGAGAAGATTTTGAATTTGGAAGTTACGAAATTATGCATGAGTCGAACAAGATGAGTTTTGGATGATGCTTTATCATCTACCTTGTGTTTTGGAAGACGTATGCTTCTTTGGATATCTTTTGATCATGGATGTGATCTGGAACGTGAACATTTTTCTGCGGATATTCGGTTAGTATCCGTACCTGGCAGTGATGTGAATGGATGATATGTCATGTCGAAAGGGGGTATGGAAATTTGACACCCTGTGGGAGCACCCTTTGGGTAAGGGTGAAGCGACATGTCATTCACCATGGTTGTATAGTTTATGCACAGAAGATACGTGGAAGGCTACTACAAGAGTTCATCGCGTCATGGAGGATTGGTAGAGAACACTCTACTTATTGCGGAAGGAATCTTGTATGTGACCAACCTGTATCACAATATTCTATTGGTCTTTGGACTTGCCGTTTTCTGACATCTAAGGATGATGTCATTGATCAGGTCAATACTGTTTGTGGTATATTGATCAGTTCTACATCTTACTCTGGATTCTACTTTAGTCTGGTACAGCTTATTGCTTGAACTGAAGATACCTACATTGGTTTGGCATTTAGATTACTTCTTGTGTCGTGGACACTGAACACAGAGAAGTTTATTCTCTCCAAGTGATGAGAACACAGCTAGAAACTCTTGGAGAAGAGTTTAAACTAGCTGAAAGTACCTGATGGGGAGAAGCTACTACACTTTGAGTTTGGACATTGAGATGCATTGGCATTGTGAGGACAATGGCCATATTTATTCGTCTTATTTGTCTGAGAGTTTTGTGATGAGATGTTTCGGTATTGTGAAGACAATACCTACATCATCGTCATCGTGACCTATGGATCATTCACTTGATCTTATGGTATGCATTTTGTCGTTCCTGAGAAGACTTTGGTTATCTCTATGAGGACGATATTGTTTTGAGAAGACTTTGGTCTACATTGTGGATTGGCTATTACAGTGGTCGAAAGACTTCAGCGATACAACTGTATTTGGCTGACCTACATTGACAATGTCGAATAGAACATTCTTTTCTCCATTGAGATTGGAAGCTGTGAGATGTTATCTCTATGTGGAAAACTGATTTGGAGGAAGAACTTTGTGTTCTGACTATGTTTTGTATCCAGAAGAAGGTTGTACAGACACCTTGTGTGAATCACTTCGTTCTTGAGAAGTTAGTCAACTTGTGACTAATGAGCTGGTTATTCACGTTTGGATGAGAACCAGTTTGATTTGAGAACTTTTGGAAGTGTTTCGATGTTTTTGAATTCATCTAGTGAAATTGAGTTTTGTAGACTTGTAGCAGCTGGAATAGTTCCAACAAACCTTTATTTGAAGAACTTGAGGTTTGTTAACTGGAAGCCTGGAATCGAGTTTACCAGTTGAGACATCGGCTCGAAGGACTGGTGTCAGAAGTTCATTTAATGAACAAGAGCTGCTGTGTCACATAACTTGACATAAGACAGACCGACACGGGGAACACATCCTCTTCCCTTGTTCTTTCTTCGTTCTTTTGTTTGTTTGTTGTGTTTGTGTTTCCCCGTGACTGATCGTGTTGCGTCTGGAGCGAAAAGAAGGAGCTTGACGTCAGCATGTGGGAGTCGAGGGTGAAACAATCCTTTTGACACGGTACTGCTTTAGTTTAATTAGGTTTGTGAATTTACACTCTGCGCTTGTGTTTGGTGTGCGTGGTTGACGTACGCGTCCGCCTGCGTAGTTCTGTAGGAATTTCGAAGAAGCGTTGATCTGACCGCAGATCTGTGCACGGCGCTTTTTCTACATGAATCGTACACGCGAGTCATAGATGGCCAAGTTAGATGCATCACCCCAGAAATTAAGCCGCAGAACCTACAGGTCATCTGGAACGTTCAGTTTATCACTGTTTTCGTACCTGCATGGATGATCCCTCCTGTCTACCACAGCCTGCGCAGGGAAAGCATCAAGAACGCAAGTTCCGCCAGTGCAATAGGTGTCCAGTCTGTCCGCCCCACCTGGTTCGAAGACCTCGCGGTACCCAAAGGACCTACACTGCAAACGTACCAAGGGCAGCCCCAACCGCTACATGGCCTTAAACTGGTTATTAAAGAAGAGGCGCTACCGATGAA